AAATGATTTAGTGCAGTATTGATAGTGACATTGGCTCTTCTTAAAAACACATTGCCAGAGGGGGAAAATAAAGACAAGAATTCATTTAAAAATAAACTCAAGTAAATGTAATTAAAAATGTGATTTTCAATTGTTTTTATTTGACAGTAAAAATACGCAACTATAGCAAGTAAGGCGAGTCCATAAAAAAAGGATAAATGGGACAAAATCGTTCAAAAACTGAATTTTTATTGTATTGATATAAAAAAACAGCTATCGTGGAATATTAACGTGTCAATTTTCTCTCGGGAACCAAATACGTTGATTAAAAAAATACCCCTATAAATCCAAATGATAACATGTTTATTGTTTTATGTTGTTCAGATGAATGAAAACAATCAAACGTGTTCAAGTGTGAGGATCAAACTGCAAGGCTAAGAGAGAGGGAAGAAATGAAATCCGTCTCTGCAAATTTAACGGACACGTCACGCGAGCGCATCTGGGGAGGGCGGGGGGTGTAAAAATGAAACTGTTTTATGTTGTTCAGATGAATGAGAACAATCAAACGTGTTCAAGTGTGAGGATCAAACTGCAAGGCTAAGAGAGAGGGAAGAAATGAAATCCGTCTCTGCAAATTTAACGGACACGTCACGCAAGCGCATCTGTGGAGGGTGGGGGGGTGTAAAAATGAAAATGTCATATTTAAACTCGTTTGGAAGCATTTGTGGACGTCGATATGTATAAAAACGGCAATTTGACTTTGTACAAAAAGAGCTTCTCGACACTCGCCTTGATTGGCAGGTCCCGCGGTCCAATCAGAGTCCGCGCGGGAAAGGGGTGGTGGTAAGCCGCACACCACCCCTCGCCCCCAATGCACGCTCTCACTTGTGCAGTCTTGCGTATAGACGAAAGCTTTGGCGTCAAGGAGGACTTGGGGCACTGTTGACTTTTCAAGCAACATCTCCGGGCTGCGCACGAAAAGAAAAGTTGGACATGCATCTCTAAGGCAGGATTAAGCAGGGAATTAAAAAAAAAACAACAACAACAACAAGCGCGACTTATTTGGTGTCTGGAGATGTTGGCGCCGGCAGGGAAGCGCTGCTTCACCATCGAGTCTCTGGTGGCCAAGGAGAACCCGCTGGCCGACGAGCCCCTGCGCCCCACCGCGCTCAGTTACGCCGGCCCGGCCGCCGCCGACGCCCTGATGGGCGGCTACCCGGCGGCCGCCGCCGCCGTGGCCCGCTCGCTCTACCCGAACCAGGCCGAGCTGGTGTTCCACGAGTCGGTGAGCCACCCGCCGCTGGCCGTGGGCCCCCACGCCCATCACCACCACCACCACCACCACCAAAACCAACATCAGAACCAGCACCTGCAGCACCACGCGCACTTCTTCGGCTCCGCGCAGCACCGAGACCCGCTCAACTTTTACCCCTGGGTGCTCCGGAACCGCTTCTTTGGACACAGGTTTCAAGGTAATTCCGCTCTTTTTGGGAGGATGGGCAATCGTCGTTTAAAGCTGCAAACCGGCGCACAAGAAGAAGAAATAAATGGCTCTTTTAAGATACTACGATTATATATTATTATAATCGTCAATAAATGCACAACGGCATAATCTAACGGCCATGTCATGGCTACACCTAATAGACAACTCCGGCTTTAGGGATGGATAATAATAATATCATATTTTTTTTAATAGATCCGTTGATATCGAGATCGACAAACCGCCGTCATGCAATTTAAATGATAAATAAGCGGTTGACACTATATGATTCAATACACTCAAAGCAAAAGAATAAATGTCATAAAATAGTCTTGACTTACAATGTCAATCAAAACTGGTTGTCATTTACTCATTTTGAAGGCACGTCTGCGTTCCCGAGTGCAATTCATTCGTGAGGCTGCTCTCGTTTCAAGATCACTCGTGTCACCGAGAATTTCATCCCTTGATTGTGAAATAAGGAAACAAAAACGTACTTTTTATTTATTCTTTAATCGTAATCGTAACCGAATGTAAACATTAAAAATAATGAGCTGTTAATTTTTTTAAATGACCAAACAATGCACATCCATGATCACTTTGTGTTTATCCATCAAACAACGAATTCAAGTAAAACGGCCAGTGAGTAGACACAAACTGTAGTAATTAACCTTTTTTAAAGCATACAATATAAAACCGTGCAATAATAGCGGAATAGTAATCGCGTCTTTCCATTAGTTAATCAGCACGCGCTAAACACCGATGTAAAAGTATTCCAGGAAGAAATCTATATTATTATATTGCACTCACGATAAAAGCACAAAATCCCAAATTTTTTTTTTACGAATAATTATACACCAATTAAAAAAAAAGAAACAGATAATGTATTGACTTTGGTTTTGCTTCAGCATCTACTTTCAGACGCCTTTTATGTTCAATAAAGCTTTTAGTCCACATTAAAACAAACAAACGTAAAAAGTCATTTTAGTTAACAGACCTGTTTAAAAAGAAAAAAAAAAGTAAAGAAAAGAGTAGCCAGACATGTGGTCAAGACAATTCCGTTTTAAACATTTAGATTTAAAACTTCACGACAAAATGTCCGCAAACTTTGTTTTGATCTGCGGATGGAAGCGTAAAGCGACGGACAAACAGGAGCTAACAACTCACCTGTTCGGCGACTCCGAGCCGTAATGGCGGTCCGTCAGCAAGGCTGGAATGAGCCGTAATGGCGGTTCGGGTGTTTGTCGTCCCGGCCCGGTAGGTCACGACGCGTCCCAGGACGGCCTGCTCCTCCACGGCCCTTTCGCACGGAAGCCCAAGCGGATCCGAACCGCCTTCTCGCCGTCGCAGTTGCTGCGCCTGGAGCGGGCCTTCGAGAAGAACCATTACGTGGTAGGCGCCGAGCGGAAGCAACTGGCCGGCAGCCTCAGCTTGTCCGAGACGCAGGTGACAAACATGGCAGCTCTTCGCGCTCTTTTGGGGGATAAATATTGGACTTTGGACAATTTTTTTGTCCTTGTGAAATGTCGCGATACTTGGGAATCTCGCCACACGTTGTTTTTTTTATTATTATTTTTGTTAAAGAAGCATTTTAGGACAGTCAGCTACAACAATTCATGGAAATGTTGATTTATAAGGGCTTTGAGGATAATTGAGACTCTTTATTTGGACACACGGATACTTTGTTTCAGTCTATGTGGGGAAATTAAATCGTCACAGCTGAACTATTCAGAATATACACTTGTATTAATAATAAAAGTGCTAGTGCCAACAAAATACAGGAGCAAACGAATAATTGTGAATATTTAACTCTAAATTTAGAGATTGGGATTTTTAAATGAAGATTTAATGGTCAACTATTCATACTGCTGTTGTGGTTATCGTAGCGTTTTGACAAGGCTCAGCAAAGTATAGAAACCGGCTTCACGTCGCACGTTCTGAAACCGGCAAAACAAGCATTTCCGTGCAGTCTTGCAATATTTGTCGCAGATTTTTAAAAATTATTTTATTGATTTATTTGGATAAAATGGACTAATTATTGTGTCAGTGTGGTTTCCTGCGCGTATCTAATCAAATGGTTGTTGTCTATTAACTGTTTGAAATTGTATTAAATTATGAATTACAAAAAAAAAAAACAACAACAACAAAAACAGAATGGACTATTTTCTTATTGAAGTTACATCCATATTTTAATTAATCTATGAGTAACTTGGCTCACTATCTTTTTTTTTATGTTTGCCTATCCCTCCTCGGACAAATAGCTAAAATATTTATTTTCTTGAATATATTGTCTTTTTTTATACAGGAATTGTATTGTAATGCCAGTTGAACACGTCGGGTAGATTGTCTTAATTCCATAATCATCTGTTCAACATCTGGGAACGAGTCAAAATATGCGACGAACCGTCCAAAATGACGTGAAAGCTGCACCAGCAAATATGGAAACACGGAGCCACAAACACAGTTCAGCAAGACTTCTGCGCATTTATTATTACTCGTCTAATGAAGGCGTTTACACTCTCGCTCTTGCTGCTTTGACAAGTCCAGAATGGCGTGTGGCATATTTAACGCTGTTATTGGATGAAGGTGCGTGTGTTATTGATGCTATGTGGGTGTCAATTAGCCCTAATGAGCAATAAAAAGCCACCTCGTGAGCCAGCAGTATTGTATGCATGAATGGAGATTTGAAGCTGAAGCAGCCACTTGCCTCCATGTGATATTGCCGGAACACGAATACCGATCGATGACAATCAAGTGTAAAGAAGTCTCACTTTTTTCACTTTGAGAAAAGATCGTTTTAGCAGGTGGAATTAGTCACGTTTCAAGCTCACGTTTGACAAAATCTGTGGGGCTTGTTATCGAACAGCGAACAGCGGGGAGAACGTCTCAATTAATGCAAATGACATGCAAAGTGAGGAGGAAAAAAAACTGGGACGGATTTAATGAGGTTCTGAAGTGAAACATTAAAAAAGTGCAAGCAGGTCTCCCCTGTGTATGTTCTAATATCATCTGATATGTTGTGGCTCTACAACGTTGTGACATGCAGTCAGTTCACAGCGTTGTGTGAATCTGTACTTATGTTTTCGTCGACTCGCATGTTTGCTCCAGAATGTCGTGTGCATATATGTTCCGGGAGACGCGGATATGTGTTTGCGCCACAACGTTGCATTAGACAGGCATGGTCTCCCCACAATGTTGTGTGGATTAGAATGCGATATGTGGATCCTCGACGATGTTGCGTGGAGCAGACTCTGACACACGTCGTCGCCCCACAATGTTATATGCCGACGCATTGAAGTCGAGCATGACGGACTTGCGTGTTGTCGCTGGGGGGGGGGGGGGCACTGCCATGTGGTGGCGCCATACTATCATTTGGAGTAGACCGCCTCACAACGTCACGTACACACGGCAGTTGCTAAACTTTGCGCGTTACCTCACTGAAGCCTGTGACTCGTGTGTGCTCAGGTGAAGGTGTGGTTCCAGAACCGGCGGACCAAGTACAAGCGTCAGAAGCTGGAGGAAGACGGCCCGGACGCCCAGCAGAAGAAGAAGGGCAACCACCACATCAACCGGTGGCGCGTGGCCACCAAGCAGACCAGCTCCGAGGACATCGACGTCACCTCGGAGGACTAAAAGACAAACAAAAATTGAAAACACTGCTGCCTCACGAGGACCAACAACACTATTTATTATGTGATGTGATGAAGTACACGTAGACATACCGGGAGCAAACAAGACTGTGCGTGGACTAGGACGACCTGGACGCCCCCCCCTCCCCCCCCCCATTGTGTTCTCATGCTGTTCGTACAATAATTAAAGCTGCTGTGTAGGTCATCAACCTTAGTTTACTTTTATCCGGTGGTACGGAATCTCATGACACCCAATGGGTTGGGTGCGGCATCCGGTAAAATAAAGGCCTCCCTCAATGAGGCGCCTTACTTTCTCCGTTCAAAGACGCCGTCGCTCACGTGCGTATAAAGGGGTTAATCGCCGACCAAAACAGCAGCGCCAATACAAGCCGCCGTTCAGGCGAATGAAAGTGGGCCAAAAAAACCCCGCATGTTGTAAACACATGTCAAGTCTCGCTTTTTTTCAATCGACGAAACGCTGATGGTGAAAATGGTTTGAGTGGACTCTACACGGTCGCGCTCGCACTCCCAATGTGTGGTTGCTCCGCAATGTTTTGTGTCCATGTTTCCGTCGACCGACGTGTGGTCACGACGCAATATTGTGTACATTCATGTTTATGTCCGAGGCCGAGTCTGATGAGAGAAGTAGCTTTGAACATGGCGTCGCTCCAGAAGATACGGTGCGTCCTGCTTTACATTCCAGTCGACTGCGCATGCTCCACAATGCTGCCTTTTTTTTCTTAACTGTATTTCTCTATAATGTTTCGATTCAAATTCCGGTTTCCCTTGACCTGAACTGTCATGTCTCACGAACCTCCCTCTTAATTGACGCCTCCGCCGCGGGCCGCTATCGTCGTCGCATTTTGCGATAGTCGCGCATGTCAAGGCGCAACAAGGTCTGAGCGCTTCTCGAGCGTCTTGGGACAAATTGACACGGGGAGACCAAACAGTTCAAAGGTGCCAGGAAGTCAGTCGCCTTTCTGTGGTTTGTTGTCAGGAAGCGCCGATTAAGACAAAGGTGTGAGGAATGTCGCCGGGCAGTTGCGCAGGTGTCAGGTGCGCTCCCCGAGTCGCCACGCACACAAATACAACAGACGGAGAGGGAAAGTAGCCGGCCATTGTGCGGGAGAGGCCTCCGTAATCACCTGTCAAAAGAAACGGAAGGAACCTGTCGCTAATGACCGCGAGGCTTTAGCGATGAGCCGTGATGTCTGACCTTGATGTTTTGCTTTGTAAACCAAGAGCAGCGAGGGGGGGGGGGGCAAGGGAGGAGGAAACGGGGCCTTCAAAATACCTCGGCTCTTCTCAGTTTTTGGACAAAGAACACAAAATGTGTGTTGCCGAGGACTTTTTCAACTTGCATGCACGCTGCTGCACGCACATGCACTGACGTTTTGTCTGCTCGATAAATAAACAACATCGCAGGTGCTTTCTTTCACTCACGCGCCTTCTCGAAGACCTCTCAAAGACGGATTGTATCGAGATGATGGCCGTCTTCTTGACGAGAGATCCCATTTAAAATGGCTCTCATCCCGCGCGTTTCCATCTTGAGGATCGGGTGGAGCTCATCTGAGATCAAATCCGGAAAGCGGATTGCTCATTCTCCATCGCTTACAGGCGGAATGCCCAATTATGGTCAATTCCTCGCGTGTCACCGATCAATTATATGGATGGATGCAATCTACAAGGGGATTCCCTTCTCGGGCTGTCAGGTGAATTTTCTCTTTGAAATCTCTTGGATTTAAAAATCCATCAGGAGTGAAGCACTGCTTGTTGGGCGCTAAGGAAACAATTCAGCAGAGACTGAAACAACACGTCTCTCGTCACCTGTGTCAGCAGAGAGGACATGCGGGCATGGGAGTCCTCTGTGGAAAAACGAGCACGTGCGTGTGTGTGTGTGTGTGTGTGTGTGTGCGCACGCGTATGTTTCAGCACATGACAGACACCTTGACGAGAAGGTGGAGAAAGCGAAGCGACGGTCTTGGTGCTCCATCATTAGCGCGACGCGCTAAAGAGCAGATGTTATTTCCTTCCTTCGCTTAACGCACCACCCCGCACGGTAAACGTCACGTCGCATCAGTCACGCGACAAGAAGTGCAATTAACGGCAAATCGCGGCTTTGTTAATTGGGATGGTACACAGCCACCATTTGGGACTGTTGTGCTTAAAAAAAAAAAAAGGGATAATTCTGAGTAAAAATACACAATTATTGAATTGATTCTCTGACTACATATTAAGTACAATCTGAACGGATTCAAAATGGTTGGAGCGATATTCGGACCCTCACAGGTAGCTGAATAAGGAAGGTGCGCTTCGATTTGGACAACGCAGCATCTGCAGCGTCTTGTTTTCAGATTGCCACGGCGGTTGTACAAACACTGCAGTCGACAGCGGAGGATGTCAGGTCGCATACGTGAAAATGAAGTGCAAGCACAGTGAAAGCGGCGCTTGAACACTGATTCTCACTTGCGTGGCATCAGGCCAAGCGCTACGGTCTACTTTTGACTTGCACGCGCTCCAACTTTTGAGGTGTGCAAGTTACGAACTGTCGTTTGGTGGGTAATTGACTTTGTGGGAATCCAAAATTTCAATGACGTGCTCGAGTGAAGTGGAGGAGAAAAAAAATGCTTTCTTTGTCTTTCAGCTGTTTATGGAACAGGATAGTCAAACAAACAATGGAAAAAATGAATACACGCGTAAGGAGCATGAAGGAGACTAACACGGAACCAACCGTGTCAATGTCCGCAATAGTGAGCCAAAACCAAATCCTGACAATGAACATGCCAGCTACAAGCTGAACAACGTACTTGTAACATCCTTCAAATGCTATCCTCATTTTATCCCGGTAGACAAAATGAGAACATTATGCTAATACAAAGCAGGTTCAATGATGCTCTTTAAGTGAAGTGGCGTTAGAAAGATTTTGTGTGTGTGTGTGTGTGTGTGTGTGTGTGTGTGTGTGTGTGTGTGTGTGTGTGTGTGTGCGTGAGAGCGCGCTTCCAAAGTGGCAAATTAAGCCAAATAAATGCAGGATTTGAATCAAGACAGCCAAAATGCTAATGGTATACAACTACAGTAAGTCGAGTTCCAGTCCAGGTCACAAACATTTGCCAAACGGTCGTCGGATGTTTGGCAGACATTCGCCCGTGCTTTTCTTGACGCAAGGGAATTTTCAACATGTTCAAAATTTTCCTTGTGACAAGGAAAAAAAAAAAAACACTGAAACTGTTGGCGAAAATCTGCCAAGCTTTACCCACAAAACATTGTTCTGCTCTGGTTGGCTCCCTAGCCAAAACGCGAACATTACGGCACTAAATTTAGACTTAGCTATGAGACTGTTGTCCACGTGGTCATTTAATTGCCACAAAAAATCAACAGGGACAACTTTGTGGAACCCAAGGAAAGCAATGTACTTGAAATACCCATAAAACAAAAGCTCTTTTCGAGTTACAGTAGCTCCTTATTCAAAATGCTAACATCGTGCTAGGGGATTCGAATTTCCCCAAAGTCAAAAGGCACATCCTCGTCTGCTCCAAGGGTAAACGATGTACTTCTATGATGTGTACATTAGCAATAACATGAGACCTCGGCTGCAAAGCTTAGCGAGCTAAGCTAAAGCAAGCGATGAGTTCCATAATAACTCTGCTGATCTGTATGCTTGCTTTAGCTTAGCATCTAAGCTTTCGTTTTTGGATGATTTCCTCCCGTGTCTGTGATAGGTCGGCTATATTATTGCCAAAGGCATTCGTGCGTACGGCGACATAGGCAGGACAGTCACTTACAGGTGTTTGTTGTGCACTAATCCGTTGCCGTGGCGATTGAAGTCTGACCGATACTGACCTGAAGGAAGGAGACAAGAACACGCAGAGTAATGACAAAACGCGAATGTGTAACCAAACAAATTGTGAGGGTTTAAGACATTTTTACATGTGCCCCTAATGTGCAAAAAAAAAAAAAAAAAAGCCAATTTGGCACATTAAAAGTCGGAGTGGAGCTTTTGCTAATAGTTGAAGCAGATGGCAGAACCCAAGGTGTGAAGTGGGACAATTGTGTAGGCGGGCGATAGGGGGAGCATTCAGGTGTCTTTCTGTTTTTTTTTCTTTTTTTTTTTTGCGGGGTGGGGGCGTTCTCGTATTTGCAAGAAAGTGCAAAACTGGCTCCTCCATCGGAACGGAAGGCGTCTATTCGGCACATATGTCCGGAGTTTGCCGCCATATGGCTGCGGGAGCTATTTCCAGCCATAATTAAAACCTTCGGCAACGACAGAGACGCAGTTTGTGTCATTCGGCGATGGTAAAAGATGGTAGCAGAACCAGGCCACAAAACAAGCAAAATCCCTTCACGGACAGATGAGGTTTACGCTAGCCACAAAAGCAGAACGCCAACAGACGATTAATTGAATTAACCTCGTCCCGCCAATGTGAACCGCAAGAGGAGATGTGGTTTACCGGTTTACTTTTGCATCTTCGGATCAGGTCTTTTGACCGTTTTAATGTGATGTGAGACAAGGTAAGGTACGCTAGCTGGAGGGAAACAGCTCTCGTGTATTTGATAAAACACCAAAGTGTGGTGAAATCAGGATTTTAGTGTCTCCCAAATGAGGCACACCAGAAAAACGTGAAATTAAGGTGATTCTGCCTTGTAGCGAAAACAAACCAAAAATGGCCGCCTGAACGCCAAAAGGGCAGACTTCCTGTATAGTTTCGAGTGTGGATTCTTGAGACTTTTTCGAAATGCTGACAGGTCTGCACAATTTTAGGATACTAAGAGACACTCGCAGTTCACAAATAAGCGTCGTCTTCAGCTGAACTAAAATAGGCTTCAGGAAGAAAAAAAAAAAAAAAAAAAAACCCAATCCTCAACTCAAATTTTTCCCATCTCCGAGGATAATACCTCATTCGCCGTGTGGGGACGGCAAACGCAGCAGGAGCTCCCGTGAAGGAGCTCACTCCGTCGCTCCTCCGCCTCTTCGCCTAACGAGGAAGAACTGCTGCCTAATGAGGGAGCTCATTAACACGTCGGGCTGCCATGTCTTAATTAGCCTGCACACACACACACACACACACACACACACACACACACACACACACACACACACACATCTGAGCCGGAGAGGGGGCGGCGTCACAAAGGGTCAATGGCAAAGAATCGGGAGTGGATGTTGTTGTGCTAAGATGCTAACACGCTAGTTCCGGCACGACTTGATTTCCTACATCACCTGTGGCTTGTTATTTCATTTTGAAATGAACGAACATCACATTCTGTACGTTTAGTAACTGATGCTAGGTTAGCTTGCTAGCTTGACTTTAAATCTAGAATGCGCAGGTATCGATGATAGAATTATGCCGGACTACGCAACCAAACGTAGCACTGTGCCCATTTTGTGCCTATTGCATCTTTTTACAATTCATGAAATATGGGAAAAAAAATAAATAAAACTAGCTCGCAACAAAATGCTAACAGTCTTAACAGTGCGATAGGCCAAGCGATTTTCAACTGCTGCGTCGGGACACAAAAGTGGATTGAGGACACAAAAAACCATTCGTGCTCTCAAGGCCACATAGGGAGAATTTGAAGTGCCCAATCAACCTGCTACGCATGTTTTTTGGTATGTGGGAGGAAACCGGAGTACCCGGAGAAAACCCACGCGGGCACGGGGAGAACATGCACGCTCTGCACAGGAAGGCCGGAGCCGGAAGCGAACCCATGAACCTCTGCACTGTGAGGCCGACGTGCTAATCTGTCCCCCATATGTGCCGCAGTTAACGCCGTTGAGTGTTATTTGCATTTTGACGGACTCACTTTGCAGACTTTGCTCTCGGCGGTGCGATCCATCACTGAGGGGGGGGGGGGGGGGGGTGCC